CTGCAATGCTTTCCAAGCACTTCTGGTGAAAATCCCCCTCCACATAGGCATAGCCAGCCCATAGCCTCTCATTTTGGGCACTCCTGAGAGGCACTACAGTCCACATCGTGCTCTCTTTCTGCTGAGCTAGGACCTTATTGAAGCCTATCAGCTGGGAATTAAGACACTATTTTGCTGCAGGAGAGGATGCAGAGCTGTGTGCCAGGCCTTCAGGAGCCATACGTATCATCACAGCGATCTGCCAAGCAAACTGGACAAGGCAATACCTTCCTGTCTCTGTGCTCACCTTCCCGACATGTCTGTTCAGACTGCAAGTTCTCTCCATGCCCACGTCTCCGCTGAGCTGTGCCGCCAGAGTGTTCAAGAAGGGCTCTGCTTAGACCCATTTTGCTACAAAAGACCAAAAAGCTTTAAAAAAAGAAATATGCTTTTTTGATTTTTTTTTAACTAGAAGCAACTCCGAATGCTATGGGATCAGGGAGCACAGTTTGCAACCATGGCTGCTCTGGTAGTCCTCCCCCTGCAGTGGGGTCTATCTGATCCAGGTTTCCTCCAAGGCTGTAAGACAACCAGAAGCAAAAATACATAAAGCCCAAACCCCAAATTCCATCTGCCACAAAGTCTAAACGTGATTGTAAGGAAAGGGATAAGTACGGGCTGGCGCAGGTTTTCACCAAGCAACACAAAAGGAAGACGGGGCTATACGTCTTTGCAGTAACCGCAGGAGCTGTAAAGCTGCCCACCCCACCACGAAACGCCCACCCTGTTAAATGGCAGGCAGATAGCTGCCAGGGTAGCTGTGGCTGAGGGTATCAGAGGCACCGTAGAGGTAAATGAAAAAAGGATTTATAAAGCAGTGGTAGATCATTTTTGAAGGCTGTTGATTGTGGTTAGAAATAAGTTTCATAATCATTTGGGAGAGTTATTGCAGGGAACAGCACAGAACTTTGGTCATGTCTTCAAAAATAAATAATCTGAATTGGTTAAATAAAATGCAGGCGCGAGAAGACAATTTACTGACTGTGAATTGCTAAAAGCCTGGGGATTAGTCAAAGATAACTCTCGTTTACCAAATGTGTTTAACAGAACACGAGAGCTTGCAGAAGATTGTTTTGTGGTATACTAATTGCGTATTTTATTTCGAAAATTGAATACAGAGATGCTATTAAGAAATAAGAACTGTCCACAATACAAACTATCAGCTTTGCCAAGTAAAACTAAAATAGGTTCCTGTTTCTAAAACCAAACTGTCATTTGCAATATGAACCAGTGTGCAATCTGAGCTCTTCTCAAGATTTTTTTTCTGAAATCCAAAGCAGGAAAAGAAATCTCAGCTCTAGCGTTGATGAGACTCAAGACACGCACCAGCTCAACCAGCTTATCCAGTTTCATAGAGCAAGTCCTAGCGCAAAAGCCTGGCCTATACAATCAGTTGAAGGATGCTGGTGGGTTGGAAAGCAGTGGGAGACAGAGGTCGACCTCCTCGCATCATCACTGCCAACTTGCTGGGTGAGCCTGGACATGTTGACATGGACAAGGGAGCTCTCGAGGCCTGTTTTCCACCCAATTATTTGTCCTCCCCGGTTCAGTCATGCTCTTGGAAACAGTAAGTGCCTTTCCGTACTGCAGCCTATGCCCATGGAGAGCGTGCCTTGGCCACGACAGGGAGGTGCTGCTCCAGCAGCAACGCGGTGCGTTAACCTAAGCCTCATTTCATTGCCAAAACTTGTGGTGGTGGGACTCCAAAGACTGAATTACCCCAGCGTACATTTTCTGTGCGTAGGTTGAGCCTCAGAAGAATAAGAAAGCAAGCAGGCTATGAGCACACAGTCAGAAACATCTGGCCTTTGCCTGCGCTCAGGCTTAGACACATTTTTTTCCTCCTACATAGTGCTCCTTTGTTCTGCCAGGACTGACGGTGTGGGAAAGCACCGAGCAGTACGAATAGAGCTGATGGAGCTGGAGGGTAGCACACACAGAGGACAACTTCATACTGGAATTGCTCACCTTTGTTCTGGTCACCCACGCGAAAGCAATACCAAGACTATAACTCAACCAGAAGCAAAACTCAAAAGACATAAAACTATACCAGCAGGTTGGCGCTCCGGTTCTGCACACATATATGAGAATGCTTGGAAAAAACCACTAGTACATGCAATCCCTTCTTACGTGAAGGAAGCGCCTCATGACCTCAAACACCATGCACTCGCTTGCAGGCCTGGAAGTTTAAGTGGTTGAGCATTTCGCTCAGGTGACAGGCAGCCCTTTTTAGTGTTAATCAGCAGATATCCAGAGAGCTAACTCATAGACATAAAGCAAATCTACTTAGAGAATAAATGTCTAAATAAATATGAGAGATGGGATGCTGATCTTTTAATGTTCTTCTGCAGGGTAAATAAAATTACATTGTGGGGTTTTTTTTACTTCAATTCATTTATGGTATTAGTTTATTATTGCATGATAAAAAGGCTCAGCATGCCTAGTTCAGTCTTCCCCCTGTCCTGGAGTGAGAGGTTGCCCAGCTAAGCTGATCACTAACAAGAAGGCAGGCAGGCAGCACACAAACCACGGTACCCATCAGCCGGACGGACAAATAACCCAGGGGTACGTCAACTGCCTACCTGCAGTCCGTTTGGTGGACAACGAGGGCAACTATTGCAACAGAGACTAAGCAAAATTGGAGCAAGCTGAAGGAGCATCATCTTGCACGACAAGTTCACCACATTTATGTCCGAGAAAGAAAAATGGGCTTTCTTTTAGTTATCTCCCATCTGCCACCTTCCTTTGGCCATTAAAACCATTTTTAAAATGATAAAACAAGTAATACTGCCTAACTAATGAATGTCGAATTATCGGCGTAAATATGCCAACACTTACTTCTTATTTGCCTCACCAAGAGCAACGTTCTCTTCCGTTTGGTTTTCTATTTTAACGACTACAATTTATCACATTAACTAGACTTCCAGTTTGCTGGGTTTTGTTTCAAGTTCTGCTTTTTGCTGAGACATCTGCAAAAGGGCAGTCTCAGGTAAAAGAACTAAAAAAACTAATTAAAAAAGCATTAGTAACTGTAACTAAAAAGCACCAGTGACCGAACCACCGCCATTTACTACACAGGGCCCTTCTTTCTTCCTCTCATTTGCTGATTTTACTGCCCACTTCCCACCAATGTTTTACTCTGCTTACAGCAGCTCTCCACAAGGAATGTTAATTCCCCTAATTTCCAAATAATTTTTTTTCTACCTACCAGCAGGCAGCCTAAGCAGGGAGGAAAGCCAAGGCGGGGGAATCGTCCATGATGAATTTGAGCCACGCACGATGGTCCAGTCAAGGGTTTCAGGAGGCACCCAGCGATGCCTGAATCAGTGTGGGGATCTTGCCCGTGCAGGAGATATCTATCTGCTGCCTGTCTAACGCGGTGAGAAACGTTAGTCCAGCTGCACCAAGGCTATATCTATTTCAGAGCACAAGCATATGTGTTTTCCCCACCTGTCACAACTGTGAAATGTATAGATAGCATTTACTTCCTAGGCATTCATAGCTCAAATTAACAGGCAACCTGTTAGTCTGAGTGTAATTAGCACCCCAAACTTTACTTCAAACATATCTGGTAGCTGAATTTTGCTTGCAGATCTTTTAGCAGCCTGGTGTACGCTTTAAGTAAATATAGGCCAACAAATAGAGCGGAAATCTTATGAAATCCCTACAAATTTAACATAAAGCAAAGCTAAACATGTTGTTGGAGAATCAGCTTTGCCTTTGTTAGAACCCGTAATGGAAAGTTCACATTTTTACAAACTGAAATTGAGCACCAGGTTCACCCGAGACCCAGCAAACCAAACGACTGAGTGTAACACAACCTGCTGGGGCTGACTCCTACTGCTCTCTTCCTGCTGCCAGATTTAAACTTCACCGCTCCCCACACGTGCTTTTTATGAAAATGCCAGTTACATACAGACACGCATCTTGAAACATGACATTAGCATTTCACAGAAGCAAATACAAGCAATACCATATGATATGAGCAGTGTAAACCCTTATCTGTGCCATACCTTGGCTTCTTCTGTTGGGGAGTATAATCAGCACACACCGCAACCACATGGCCACGGTCTGCCTTTTCTACCCTGGCCCTCATACCTACATAACAGTTTCTTCTATGTTGCAGCCACAGCATCTGCAGCATCCTCAGATGCCCACCTGAGTGCACTGGATCACTCCTTTACCGGGATATTTCTTCAAACATAATTAGTTTTGAAACGCCAAATAACGATGGGTTTAAACTCTTTTAATTTGGCATTCACCTTTCCCTCCTTGTGGCTGCTAGCACTTTAACAGGGAACGTACAAACCACATTGAAATGTTCCTTCACAAACCCAAAAGCATGATATTTAGTCAAACTTTGATGTAAGGAGGGCTGAGGGAGCCCACAACCCAGGCTCCACCGTGGCAGGACAGCCTTCATCTATCACAGATTTCCCCTGGATGCCGGAGAGTCAACTAGGCTTATAACTCTTGTCTCGTACACGAAGAGGGTTTTATGTTCATTCAGCAATCATCTTTTTTTTTTCTTAAATGCTCTATAAACGTTGCCCAGAGTTCTTCCCTTCCTTATCTATCAATCAGTCCATATATAGCATTTTATTAGCACTAGCTTCTCCAAGCCTCCAGTGCTTATCTGCGTGATTCTCTGACCTTCATAAACGCTACCTTAACTGCTCCGTACCTGCTGGCAACACACATTGAGACAGACCTGCAAGGCGTCACCTTTCTGCGCGGTGACATGGCTTTCTCCCCCAAGTCCTGGATAAATCTAAATGATGCATATTCAAAGCATCTGTCACAGCAATGACACTGCTCCTCTTCTCTGCACATTTATGATGTTATCCTGTCAGACTGTAGTGGAGCTGTTGGGAAAGAGACCTGCCCTTCTCCAGCCCAGCACCTGTAGATACTCCCCTAAACACGGAAGATGGAGAGAAGGAAAAAAGAAGATTGCTTACCCGCAGGAAGGAGAGGTCTCGGTTGTGTTCAATGCTGGTGATTTCCAGGTTGCCCATAACTACCTCGCAGTTCTCATAGTACTTGCGCAAGGCCCGATACTGCTGCTCCAGGTCAGAGAGGGAGCTCAGCTTGTTCTCAGTGCCGGCACACACTGCAAGAAACCATGGGACAAACAATCAGGATGAGCATGGAAGAGGGGCACAGAGGCAGAAAAGGAAATAAAGTTTGTATACAGAGCTACAGGTAATTGCAACAAAAATCCTGAATTATTCACAAGACTGAGTCCTGCAAAAAAACCTCAGCACAAGTTACTTGAATATTAGCAGCAGAGATAGGAAGGTACAAATACGGTTCATGATCCTTTTGGCAATTTAAACACATCTCACCATACGGGATGAAGTGCTGGGATTTACCGTCAAATGCAAAAAGGCTGAAAATGCAGAAATACAGGGAAAATGCAAAAATAGTTGACCCCAGCACTTAAAGGGCGAAACCCATGTCTCGGCAAAGTCCCTACTAGTTCTTCCAATGACAGAATCGGATGCTGAACAGAGGTGTGCCAATCACCGACTAAAGGACGTAAGGCTGGAGAGACTTGTGCATCCAAGCTGACCTGGGTAGTCCAACATTTTCCCTATTCAGCTGATGCTCAGAACGGCGGGTTGGCCAAGCCAAGAGCCACCTGACCAGAAGGCTTATACCCAACATTGTTTTCCCCATCACTTTTCTTAAGACCTCAACTTTTCCCAGCTTTATGCAATTAAAGAAGAGAAAGCCAATAGCAAAAAACACATCGTCTTTCCACAAGTCACCAGACTGAACGTACAGTGGAGATGTGTCAGCTGAGTTAGGAAACACCATCCTAAATACAGTTAGTTTTCAGAAGATGCCTTTTAATATTACACCACCCTGTTCTAAATTTTGAAGTTCAGGTCAAAGCTACTGTAGAATAACAGCTCGGCTCAGTCTATTAGCTTGCTGTGCATCAAGCAATGACAAAAATGAATGCGAGAAAGAAATAGAGAAGCAGCATTTTACAACAGCAGTTTTTCATGCAGCTGTCAGCCTGCCAGGACAGCAACGCTACATAAATGGTCAAGTGTGGGGCTGGGCTTTTGGGGGCTTTTTTTGTCTGCACTTGCTTTTCCTCTTTACCAACAGCTTGTGGGCTGTTCTTATCTGTGAGCAAATTAATCTGAATATATCCAAACTTTTGAAATGGACATTATATTATGCAAAACATGAGCTACACCAGAATCGCCTTTCTGGAGCCATTCTCATTCCTGGATTAGATCAATATAAACAAAACTCTCCATGTCTGGAGGCATAATCAGTAAAATTGGTTAAAATATGCTCTTTTGAATGATGTAGGTCCTTTTTATAAATATGAAAAGTAATTAGGTTTTTGAGTACTGCTATTATTGACTGTTTACTTACTACATCCCCTCCTCTCTTTTTTTTTTTTTTATAAAACAGAAATGGGAACAATTCTCATCTCTATTCACTGCTGTGGTCCCTCTGCTGCAAAGCAAACTGCTCTTGCGCCAGGGCAATTTGAGCTTCAGCAGCCCCTTGGCAAAGGGCTTCAGGAGTGTTGTGGTTTAACCCCAGCTGGCAACTAAGTACCACGCAGCCCTTTGCTCACTCCCCACCCCAGTGGGATGGGGAGGAGAATCAGAAAAAGGTAAAACCCATGGGCTGAGATAAGAACAGTTTAGTAACTGAAATAAAGTAAGCTATAACAATAATAATAATGAAAAGGCAGATAACAAAAAGAGAGAGACAGAGGAATAAAACCCAAGAAAGACAAGTGTTGCACAACACAATCGCTCACCACCCGCTGACCGATGCCCAGCCCATCCCTGAGCAGCTATCGGCCCCTCCCAGTCAACTCCCCCAGTTTCTATACTGGCCATGCCGCCCTATGGTATGGAATATCCCTTGGGCTGGTTGGGGTCAGCTGTCCGGGCCGTGCTCCCTCCCAGCTCCTTGTGCCCCTCCTTGCTGGCAGAGCACGGGAAACTGAAAAGTCCTTGACTGAGGGTAAGCCCTGCTCAGCAACAACTAAAACATCCCTGTGCTACCAACGTTATTCTCACCCTAAATCCAAACCACAGCACGGTACCAGCTACTAGGAAGAAAATTAACTCTGAAACCACGACAGGGAAGCAGCCAGAAACCCACAAACTGCTCAAAGTTTTCTCCCAAGGAAACTCCCTCTGCCCTAAGAACGGCAGCAGAACTCTGTGCCTCCTGAAGGGGAACTCCTCACCGGGGAGGCACAGCAGGGGCTGGTTTCATTGCGAGCCACGCACAGCACCAAGGTTTTAATCAGATCATTTTCAGGTTTTGTGTTTCCAGTAGCTAAAGAGCATGGACCCAAGCTGAAGAGGCACTACATAGGACTGCTTTTCCAAATACACATTTGGTCTAGTTACCAGAGGAAATACTGTAAGGGACGTAATTTTTTTATTTCTTTCTGTGACTTTCTGGTATAAGTAAAATTTCAAAGTCCTTGCTAAGTTTAAACACTTGAAATATTTGACATATATTCATTATATTGTGTTGCAGAAAACCAAAACTGGTTGGTTTGCTCAGGTTTTAACATAAAAACTATCACCTGATTTCAAGGCTTAATTTAAAGCACAAACATTCCCATTTTGAAATTTCTCCCGTAAAACCTTACCACTTAAGGGTAAAGCATATCTAAACAAGATTTTATTTATATTTTTAATAGCCATTTTTGGGAATTCCCAGGATAGAAAAGTTCCACCAGGACCTGATGTAGCTCTGCTGGACTGAACACCTGGAAGGATTAACCACTGCTGCTAGGGGATGGCACATCTTTCTTTTTGAAATACAAAGCCTTGTCCTAGCTCCTATTTAGAATTTTATTTGGAACAACCTCGAGATCTGACATACATGCATCTCCACCCTTCACGGAGATTCACGCCTGTCCCTGCCAGAAGATGTCTAAAAATGTTTGCTACCAATTACAAAATCAGTTTCTTTGCTTCTTCCTTAAACGCAGCAGCATCTATAACAAGATTGACTGTGTTTCCAGTCAAATAAGTATTATTCTGTCTTAAGGCTACTGAGGCCTAATAAATAATTTCTGTTCCATTTCGCAATCGGTGCTAAGGATCAACATAGCTCAGAAAACAATTCCAGCAGCTCAGCTAATAAAGCTATATACTGCAACGCTGATGTTTCATGTTTCACCCCCATTAAACGTTTCCTGAAAGCTAATTTAGCCATTTGTTGTTGTAAGGAGGCAGAACACCTGAAGTCCGCTCTTGCAAGAGGATTCAACAGCGGTAAAGCCAGCCCAGATGTAAACCGGGACTGCAAGTTTGAGTGAGATTAATTTTGTACAACCAAACCATTGCAGTAACTTTTGATATTGCTATGGAAATCAATTCTTTCAGATGAATAAAATCTTAAAAGCAAGAAGAAATCATGTTGTTCCTTTAAATTTATCTCATCATAATCCCAAGCATTTGATTTCTGTCTTAAAAAAAGAAATCTCCTCTGGTCCTCTCTTACACAAAACATCTCCTTGTTCCAGCTCACACCTGGGTCTCTGCTGCCTGCCTGAAACGTGGCAAAAGGCCCGTGCAACCCCGCTCCTCCCAGCCTGCTCTGCCACAAAATTTGGGAAACCAGGGAAAGTCACTGCCCAGCATCAATCCTCCCAACCGTTGCATGGTCTGGCTTGTCTTTTGCAGCTCTGTACTGTCCTGACAGGTCATCTCCCCTCAACAAGAAGAAGAAATTGGTTACAGATAGCCTTAAATCAAGTCATATACCAAAAGTGAGAGTATTCTACATCAGTCGGGGGTGCAGCAGTGCAGATTTTTTTTTTTGCCATGGGTACCCAACCAGCAGCGCAGCCGATGCAAAAACAGGACTTGGAGCGGGAGAGAGCCCCGATCTACAGAACGAGTAGAAGGCCCAAAGCAAATGTGGGTATAAGCATGGATTGTTAACAATCTGTTATTATAAGCAGCCATTAATCTCTCTGTGCCTCAGCTTTACAGCACAGGTTTTAAACATATACGTTTGATGCACCTAATAATTATGCCAGACTCAAAACACAAAAGAGAAGTGTGAACATATTTAAGAAAAGCAGATTAGATCAATCGTCACTTACAGGAGGATAGAGCTGGGACAGCACCTCCATCCTTCACAGGGAGTCCTTTACAACAGAGAGATGAGGTACGCTGTCGGTGGGGTTTTTAAGGCAAAATACAACTAATGGGGTAAAAAGCCATTCCTGCCATGGGGGAGAAATGCTGCTGCCATGTATGTGTGCTCCTGCTTGCCCACACACGCCAGGGAGCCAAACCGGGGAGGGACACAGGCCAGAGAGCACACACAGTGACCTACCAGTTAACGGTAAGTTAACTTTTGAGTCACAGCAGACAATTCCCAGCTCCTCCAGGGCAAAAATAATCGTTCTGGGTTTCATTTGCCGAAATAGTTAAGCACTAAAGTAACCACGTGAGAGGTGGGAGCTGAGCAGGGGTTACACGGGGTCCCCAGTCCCTCTGTCCCCGAGCTCGACACAGAGCACAAACATATCCCCCTCACCCTCCTGCTCAGCTCTTGAACAGCAACAGGCATCTATGTGTTGTAGCAGCTCTTTAAAATTAAGTGCCAAAATAATACATATTTTCAGGGATGCTCCAGCCATGTATAGGCATAAACATGAGCACAACAAAATGTATTTCCTTGTCATGCCATGCAAAACCCCCATGATGTTTATTTCATAAACTCTCTTCAAAGTACTTTGTTGTATGTTGTTAGACACGTTGTTTTATATAGCCCCAGAAAGCAAGGAGTGGCAAGTAAATAAAGATTGCGAGCTAAAAGCAGGCCCTGCAGCAGAACCTCTCCTGGTTAATAAAAAACACTAATTCCCCTGCCTCCAACAGAGGTCAAAAAAGTAGCAGCTTAAGATGTGCCTCCAGTCTGCAGCTTCTCTCACTGTTGAGCATCTCTGAGCACGTACGCTCCCGACTTGCTCAGAAGGCCTTACAGAGGTGTCTCAGTGAGGGAAACCCTTCAGCGTGGTTTCAATGCACGCCCAGGAAAATCTGACGTCCCCTTACGTCTTCCCCAACGGAAACCCCAGTGAGCCGTTGACTG